TAGACGCCAGATATCTACTACATTGTATTTTCCATAATGTCGTTCATTTGGTTTGCTGATTTTTGCCAAAATTTGGGGTTACCTCCTCCTCTATCTAATTTTAAGTTCATTGCAAAATTTAGATCCCCTCCCCAAATTATCTCGCTTTGTGGTTCAAAGGGATTGTCCAACAGCAACTGGTCAATTTGTGACAAAAAGTGGTTATGTTCTATTTCTCTGTTAGGAGCATATGTGTTTAAAATTATAAAGGATCTTCCACCAAAACCCACAATTTTTGTATTTGTGGCATCAGTACTCACCCGTGCCGACGGACTATACGATACATTTACACATGTACAATCACATAGTGTTTTCACACGTTGTTTTGGAATTAAAGAAAAAATGCTAGCAATGTTCTCGAACGATGATTCAGCATAAAAAATCGATAAATTGAAAAAGTAAGTGCGAAAAACAATTAAAATATGTATTCAATTACAAATACTTGTGGTAAACTAATCCGGCAGCCATGTTTGATAATTTATTAGTCCCCGTTCGGACGAATTCCGAAAACGGGGACTTATAATTCGGTCTCTGTCCGTCCGTCCGTCCATCCGTCCGTCTGTGCGTCCGTGCGTCCGTCCGGAGTCATATCTCAGAATCCCTTGGACCGATTCCGTTCATTCTTTGTATGTGCCTAGTACTTTATGTGGGACATATGCACATGCAGTGGTTCAGCGATTTGATTCAAAATGGCCGACTGGCAGCCATCTTGCTTTTTGAAAATGTTGTATTTTGGACATGCTTTGTCCGTTTTCATTCAAACTTGGTACATAGATTATACATGTTAGGATACATGTCCTGACCGTTCGTGAGTTCCTGAGTCTGTCTGTCCGTCCATCCGTGTGTCCGTATGTCCATGCGTCAGTCTGTCTAGAGTCATATTTCAGAATCCTGTTGACCAATTCCCTTCATTCTTTGCATGTGCCTAGCACCTTATGTGGGACATATGCATATGCAGTGGTTGAGCGATTCGATTCAAAATGGCCGACTGGCAGCCATCTTGTTTTTTGAAAATGTTGTATTTTGGACATGCTTTGTCAGTTTTCATTCAAACTTGGTACATAGATTATACATGTTAGGATACATGTTCATGACGATTTATTTTGCAATTGGATCAAAGATAGTTGACTGGCAGGCATCTTGTTTTTTAT